TTTTGTGGGGTTTATGCAGCTCTGTTTTGTGAGATTCATGGGGTTCTGTTTACAGGGTTTTTGGGGTTCTGTTTAGGGGGTTTATGAGGTTCAGTTTTGTGGAGCTTATGGGGTTCTGTTTAGGGGGTTCTGAGCTGCTCCTGTAGCTCAGCAGCTCTTTCCAAGCCCTCCAGCTGCCAGGGCAGGGCAGGTTCCCCTCAGCCAGCAGGGGCAGAGCCCTGGGACAGGCTCAGCCCCGACTCTGCTCCCCTGAGCTCCAGGGCAGGATCCAGCTCTGCATCCCTCGGCAGCAGCAGTGGGGAACCAGAATTCCAAAATTCCCTGTCTGCGGGAGGGTCGGGGGGTGGGATGGTGGGGACGGACAGAGATAAGCGATCTCTGCAGCCAGGGCTGGAACTTGGGGTTTATTGCAAAGGGCCTGGGTGCAGGGCCCTGCTGGGAGCGGCCAAACACAGCTCAGAGCAGGAATGAGAGAAGAGAGGGGGAGAGAGGATGAGAGGGTGAGAGAGTAAAAGGGTAAGAGAGTGAGGTTCCCACTACAATACAATAACTCTTCTTCTGTGTTGAATATTCTGATTCTCACTAACCAATCTAGTACAAGATACAAATCCTATAGCATTTCCATACAGCCTATAAGAATCATTACATTACCACACTGTGTTACATTTTAAACCCTACAAACTCCTCTTTGGGCCCCTTCTGCCAAGCTGTAGGGTCTGCTCTGCCCCTTGGGCCTGTCTGCAAGCAGAGGGTGTTGTTCCATCAAAAGGGGATCACCTTCAGCTGGCCACACCATTGTTTTCCAGTTGTTCAGTAACTGAGGTATCTCAAAGCTTGCTTTCATTTCAATCTCACTTATAGTTTCTATATTCTCAAAATCTTTTGCCAGGCAATCATATTTATACGGCTTTCCTGTTTCATCTTCCCCAACACCTGTCCTTTAGGAGCCCCACTGGGTGCAGCTGTGCCCCAGGCAGTAACCCTGTGTTCTTGCTGTGTTCCTGAGCAGTAACCCTGTGTTCTTGCTGTGTTCCTGAGCAGTAACCATGTCTCCTTGCTGTGTTCCCCAGCAGCAGCAGCAGCAGCAGCCCCAGGACAGCCCCGTGCAGTTTCTCCCGGCCCCTGGTGCACTCAGCGCGCCGGGAGCGCTGCCGCGACTGGAGGAAGCCGGGCAGGATCATCCGCAAAGCCTGAGCAGGATCCAGGGGCCGTGGGGGGGCTGCAGAGCCTCAGACAGCCCCCCCAGGGGCTGCAGCACCTCCACAGGGACAGCATCCATCCGTCCTGCAGGGATCTGCTGAGGGGAAGGAGCCCCTTCCTCAGGGAATCATCCCTGCCCACGGAGGAGCCACCAGGAGCAGGGGATGGCCCAAGGTGGGACAGCGGCTCTGCCACCCATCACCACCAAGTGACTTTGCTTTCTTCTCCCCCAAGGGCTGAGTGGATGGAGAGCAGATTTCCCAGGGGAAAAATGGGATTTGCTCCTGCATGGGCAGCCCTGGGAAGGCTCCCAGTGGTTTCAGGCTCCTCTTCTCCATCTCCAGGACTGCGCAGCATTTCCCAAAGTGGCCGGAAAACCTTCAGTGCCCAGTTTGTCACCACTGCCAGGAGGAGCTGCCTCCCCTGGGACACCCAGAAGTGACTTTGGGAATGCTACCTCCCCTGGGACAACCAGAAGTCACAGCCCTTTGGGAATGCTCCCTGTTAGCCTCATGCACCAAGAGCCTGCCAGCTATTCTCTGCTTTTCCTCACCTTCGCTAAATGGGTTGCTTCAGGGAAGAGGAGGGAAAATGTCCTGAACCAGTGACTCAGAGTTATGTCATCAAATGCAATTTACTGCAATGGCCTTGCAATTAGCATTTTTGGAGCCTTCCCAGCAGCTGAGGCAAATAAATGTGAGAGCTGCTTTCTAATGAGCAGATAGGTGGGGAAGGAATAGAATCCTGCTCTTTAGACTCTGCTGTTCAGGCATAAAATCAGATTTTAGAGGCAAAAGTCAGCAGCCCACAGAGCTGGAATTGTGGAGCATGGAAGGATTTTGAGATTCTGACACTGGGCTCCAACAGCAGCTGCCCATGGCAAAACTGCTCCTTATTTGCTGAACATAATGTTTGGCTCAAACACAGCCTGTTTTCCTCATTGCCAGCCATTTGTGAGCCTGACTCAGGCTCCCAGACACATTATCCAGTAGCAGATAGGAAGGGGAATAGGAATAGATTATGCATTCATTACCCAGAAGTAGCCAGCAGATACATTTGCACATTTGTCTGCTGCTCAGTTGTTTGCAAATGGTTCCTGGTGGCTGATGTTGTGTTTGTTCAGTCACCCGGGGCTGGGAGTTCCCAATCCTCTCTCCCAGGCAGGCTGGATCAGTCACCTGGATGTAAATCTCTGCTTTCACCTACAGGAGATGAAGTTTCAACCTAGAAGTTCATGCCTTGTGTTGAGATTGTTTTGAAAAAGGAGGCAGAAGTAGCTGTGAACAGTTCCTGCACATTTCAAAGCATAAACTCTGTGAAATTGTATTTAAAAAATGTGAAATTCAGCATAAAAACTGAAATTGTGCCTCAGCTCAGGGACACTGGGGCTGCTCCCCTGTCCTGATCCATGCAGGTAAAAGTGACAGCAGCAGATGGAGATGTCAGGAGGGAAAATGCTCAGGAAATGTTCTTTGTGCTGGGGGAGTTTGTTTCCCTGGAGTTGGGTGTGTCTGGGGGATGTTCTCCCCACTCTTCTGCCAGAACCTGGGTGAGTTTGGGAGCTCTGGCTGTGGAAAAAGGATTTGGATGAATTCCTGCAGTGGGGCAGGGCTGGGGCCATGCTGGGCTCCCAGCCTCAGCAGGACAGACAGACTGACAGAGATGCACCTTTAGGAAGGGTGAAGGGCCAGGACTGCCTTGCCCTGATGATCACATGCTGGATTTATCCCTGTAAATATAAATTGTGTACTGCCAATAAACTCTTTTGCATACACAGGACTCAGCCTGTCTCTGTTCTCACTCAGCCCTTGTGTCTCTCTGGGTTTGCCTTTCCCAGCTGGGACCCAGGGGAGGTATTGGCTGGAATCTGGGGGTGATCCAGAATGGATAAAAGCTGCATTTACAGCACAAATGTTCTCATCCTTGATGCAGAGGAACCCAGGCCTGCCAACCAGAGCCTGGTTTTGGGTGGTTGTGGGTTTGGTTTGGGATTTTTAATATTCAGGTCACTCTGCAGCTCTGTTGGAGAAAGTCCTGCCCAAGCAACGTCCCCTGGGGTGGGAGCTGGTGGTGGTGGAGAGCTCAGGACCCCCAGTCTGCAGTGGTGTGGACCCCAGAGCCCTGGGGAGTGCTGAAACCCAAAGCTGCTCCAGACCCTGTAGGGACTCACCCTCCCCTTGGCGTTGGGCTGACCAATGCTCCAGGGTGAGGGGACACAGCCAGGGGTGGCAATGGGCTCCTGTCTGTCCCCTCAGCCCCCTGAGGGCCTGGGGCCTGGCTCTGCACCCCTCAGCACCCCTGGGCACACATTTCCCCCTGCAGGAGCCTCCTCTGCAAGGACAGGCTGTGCTGTGCTCTCCCAACACACAAGGAATGGCTCTGGACAGGAATTCCCAAACTCCCTCTCATGTGCTGCAACCAGCAGTGCCTCTGACCCCAAACCAGCACAGTTTAGGACCAAATATCCCAGCTCACCGCACTGAGCTGGGCTATTTGCTCCAAAAGAAGACACATGCCCCAAAATACCCAAAACGCCCAAGGACCAGCACTTCATGGATGTGCAGCTTCCCCTGAGGGGGACAGGGGAAGTCACCTCCTGTACCTTCAGCTGGGGCACGAGGCTGTGGGGGCTGTTGGCTCTGCTCAAAATAGACTCTGTGGGCTGCACCCCAAACCACACTTTTGTCAGAAACTTCCTTTTTAGCTTGAATTTCAGTTTGCAGCCCTTTCACAGTGAGTCAGTGAAAGCCCTGCTCGCCCTGGAGCTGCTCAGGGAGGCTTTGAATCATCAAATTTGGGCCATCCATGGATTAACCTTCCTGCAGGGACTGTTTCCATCAGGTGCCAAAGAGTTCCTCAGGATGGAGCACTGGGATTTCCCTCTCTGGGCTCTCACCCTCAGCTGGGGATGTGTCCTGCCTTGCAGGGCAGAGCTGGGCTCAGTGAAGGTGGAGCAGTTTCACAGGTTGGATTTGGATCTGCTGGAGTCCAGACACTGGAGATCACCTTCTGAACACCTCAGCAAAGCCCTCTTGGGATTTCCTTTGGCCTGGGAAGGCATTTTCAGAAATTTCCATTTTCTGACCCACCACATGGGGCTGTTTGGGGCATTTGGTGCCACCTGGAGACCCAGCCCTGCACCCACAGCTCATGGTGCCACCACTGCAGCTCCTCCTGGGCAAACTGCACCCACTGCAGCTGAGGTCAAGCCAGAGGGCTCCAAAGCCCCGTGGGTGTCAAATTCTGCCCTGGAGGGCACAGCTGTTCACATTTATTGGTGTCTGCAGCGCCTGGCAGCCCTGAGTGCCCAGCACACCTGATGGTGTGTAGGGGGAGAATGTAAGAACATAAAGATAAATCTTGCCCCTAAGGAGTTGCAGCTGGGCCAATTATCAGAGATTAGAAGCAGGCCTGACTTTAACTGGCCACAGCTGTAAGCAATGAGAAGAAGATGCTATAAAAGAGTGGGGTGGCCTTGAGAAGGGAGCTGGAGTCAGTTGGCTGCGTTGTGAAGAAGAGTCAGTGCTCTGAGGAAGTGCCCAGAGAAACACCAAGAAGGTGTGAAACTTCTGTGATAAGGAGACAACAGTATGGAGCCCCTGTGATGAGATAACAGCAATTCTGCACTTTGGGAAGTGATATCACACCTGATGTCACCCCAGCAGTTTGGGAAGTGATGTCACCCCAGCCCTGCTGAGCTCTGCTTCCCTCCTCGGTGTTTCCTCTGTGGCTGGACCCTGCTCTCAGCAGGACCAAACAACCCCTTCACCTCCATCCTCAGCTCGTGGTGTCTCCAGGCCCAGAGGCTCCTGCTTTTGGGGCATTTTGAGCAAACCCAGCTGCTGCTTTTGCTGCCTGCAGTTTGAGTGCTAACTCTGCCATCCCCTGCTCAGCCCCAGAGCTCCTCCTGCCCATCCCTTCCTGCCTGGGCACTCTGAGGGGCTGCTGCTGCTCTGCCTTGGCCTGGCATCGTGGAGCACAGGTGAGTGTCCCTGGGGCTCTGTGTGTGCTTTATCCACATTCTGCCTTAACAGGAATAATTTCTAAAGGCAAAGATTTCCATGGAGTCACCCCAGCACTGCTGAGGTTTGTGAGGGCTGCAATAGGGGAAGGGTTTTACATAAAGGGTGGGGAAAGGACAGAAATGCCGTCCTGCTCAGAGCTGGAGGGCTGGATGTGGGTTCTGATTACTCCCCTTCACATCCAGATCAGCTCTGATTAAAAAATCACAGAATTCGTGACTGGTTTGGGTTGGAAGGGACCTTAAAGCTCCTGTTCCACCCCTGCCGTGGCAGGGACACCTCCCACTGTCCCAGGCTGCTCCCAGCCCTGTCCAATCTGGCCTTGGGCACTGCCAGGGATCCAGGGGCATTTCTACTGCTGCTTCCCAAGTTTGTGGCTAATGGTTTTGGGATTCTCCTCCAGGTTAAACAAAAAGTAACTTTTTTTCTGCTTTTCCTTGTTAAGTTAAATCCCATTTCAAATTCTGTGGTAATTCCTAGATGTTTTCATCTTACCACTCAAAATCCTTCCTCTCATTAATAAATTATTGCACATATTAAAGCTTGCTTTGTACAGAGCAAGCATTAAAGCCAGCCTATGGCTATGGGGGGGAATAAAGCCCATGGGGCTTTATTGGGGGATTTTTGTCACCCTGAGCTGGTTGCTGTCACAGTTTTGGGTAGAAAAGCAAGGACCCACTTGTTGCCAGTTCTCGGATCTGGGCTGGGATTCTGCAGCTTTGTGGATGATGGTGCCAGAAGGCAGCAACAAAACATTGTGAAAAAACCCTTGATTTAGAAAGGTTCATTTTTGGGAAGGGCAGTGAGAGACAGAGGAAAGCAAAGGGTTAAAGGCTGCCTGTGTGAGGAGCCACTGTCCTTGGCAAACAATAACCAGCATTCCCTGAGCCCCTGGGCTCCCAAGTTTACCAAAGTGAGGTTGAAGCTGCACTGAGGAAAAGCCACCCTGCTCCAGGCAGGCTGCAGGAGCCCTGCTGGGGACAGGGGGACCCTCAGCACTTCCTGGGCTGTCCCAGGCACCTTCTGTCACCTTCTGTCACCTTGTGCTGGGGACAGAGGGGCTCTCAGCACTACCTGGGCTGCTCCAGCCACCTTCTGTCACCAAAACCAGGAGCGCAAGGAAGGGGCAGGTTCATTTTGGGTACCTCTGGCTGCCCAAACCAGGAGAGAGCAAAGGCGCCTCTGTCTGAAATTAGGGCAGTGTGAGATGCCCTGAGGCTGTTCCGTGCTGGGAATGTGTCCCTCATCCCTGGGCAGGCTGAGAGCCCCAATCCCACAGAACATTTTGGGGGGTGCTGGGATGTGCCACAGTGAGCAGCAATGGGCACGGGGTGTCAGTCCAAGTGCTGAAACACAACCACAATGTGATTTCAGGACCAGCCACAGGTGAGGCTGAGGCTGTGAAGAGGCCAGGGAGGTGTTTCAGAGCTGGGCTGAAAATCTGCCTCCCAAAGAGGGGCAGTGGGTCCCTGCCAGCAGTGCCAGCCTCACCGCTCACTCCCTGCCAGCCTGGCACAGCCTGAGTGCCCTCAGCGCAGGGAGAGCCTGGGGGATGCTGTGCCCCCAGCCAGCCCCCCCAGCTGCTGGTGCAGACACCTCTGGAGCCAAGATCAGCTCTTTGATCTCCTCCCTCAGCAGTGAGTGCTGGGAGCAGCTCCTGTGCTGCCCTTCCTCCTTCCTTTGGGGCACAACTGTGCTCTGGGCTGGGGCAGCCTCACCTGCGGTGCTGGGGGCATTTTGGGGCACCACGGGAGAGGAAAGATTTTAAAATATTGTAAGAAAGATGTTGAAACATCAGAGAGTGTCCAAAGGAGGTGGTGGAAGGGTTTTGGTAGGAACTCTGTGAGGAGCAGCTGAGGGGAGACTCAGCACAGTTGGAATTTCCTCATGAGAGGAAGAGGAGGAGCAGCTCCCATCTCTGCTCTGGGACAGGGACAGGAGCCAGGGCACGGCTGGGGCTGGGCCAGGGCAGCTCAGGCTGGAGCTCAGGGCAAGGCTCTGCCCCCAGGATCAGGGTCTGTGCAGGTGTGAACCCAGCACCCACACAAGGGAAAATCCCCATGTTCAGATTCCTGGCTGTCCCTGGGCCACCCAGAGCAGCTGAGGCTGTACTGACCCAAACTGGGAGAGAAGGGATGAAATGAGGGCTAGAACAAGAGATGGAGAGAGGAAATGCTCCCCAGGCAAGGAAGTCGAGGTTGATTTTTAGGATTTGCTGTAAACTCAACTCATGAACATGACACAGGATCCACATTTCACTTCTCCACCCCTGAAATCTGAATTACCCTTCCCACCTTGCCTCTTTCAGTGAAAAACCTGCAGTTGGCAAAGCAGCTGGGATTTGCTTTTTGTATCAGCAGAGCTGGGCACAGAGCCCTGGCTTTGCTCTGGGATTCTGTGGATGCTGTGTGAGTGCTGCTGTGAGGGGATGGAGGAAGCAATTCCTCATCTCTCAAGAGGAGCTGGGCAATGTTGGGATTTCCATCAAGGTTTTTGTTCCCAGTGCCCCGTTTTGGGTTTGGGGGCTGCTCTAACATAACCCCACAAATAACCTGATTATCCTGGAGCCTGGTATGGAGGGCAGGGCAGAAGTGAGTGATGGTTGACTTGTTTTCTAACTTGGCTTCTCTGTACTAATTAATTCCTTGATTAATCCCCACCTGCCTGCCTCACTGGGGTTGCTGTGAAGCTGAATTTGTGTCTCTGATGCACCTGGCAGGCTCAGAGGTGCTGTTCCCTGCTCTCAGAACCCTCCTGTTGGATAAATCCTGTCCCCAACAAACTGCACCTGGGGTCTGGGCTCTTTCTGAGGCGAGGAAATACTTTTGGATTAGTGATTGATGAATAAATAAGAGGACATTTGTACGTATCTGTGAGGAAAATTTCTGTCCCTGTGCCCACATTTGCCAAAGTGCCACAAACAAATGAAACCTCAAATGTCAACATTCGGCTGAGCAAGAGATGGGGAGGAGCTGAATCTGGATAATCCCTTTTTATTCCACCAGGGAGCATAACTCTAATGATTTTGGTACTAAACACTTCTGCAGGCCAGCAGGCACCTTTTGACTCTAAACCAACTGTTCTTTAGGGATTCCCTTGGCACAGGCACCTCTGAAACCCAGAATTGCTCCCAGGCATGGCAAAGAACAAGGAATTAAAGCAAATCTACAGTCCTGCAAGCAGTGCTAGCTCAGGCTACATTTAAACCCCAAATCCTACCCCAAGCACCCTCCAAACCCTGTTGTTTCTCCTCAGCTGGAACAGTAACTCCAGGAAAATCCTTCCATTCTAGACATGTTTGGTTTAAAGGAGTTTTTGGGAATATGGTCCCTATTCCTTAGAGGAAAATGGTTTTGAGCTTGTAATGTGATTTCCTTATGGCTCTCTGAGATGGATTTGTGCTTGTAAGGCGCATGACCAGCCCATTCCTTGTTAATCCAGATTCTCACTGCTGGTGGGGAATTAGGAGCAGATCCTAGAGCCAGAGCTCAGGGTTCCAGCAGGAAATTACAGCTGCAAATGCTTCCTTGTGCACATTCCCTGGCTCTCCCACAACCCCTCCTGCCCAGAAACATCAGCTAATTTGCATATTAGCACAGATAATGAGCCCTGGGAGGGCTTTCATGATGTCAGACCCTCGGTCACTGCGGGAGGAGGCTCCGGGCTGCTGCCCCGGGGCTGGGGATGCTCAGGGCCGGGCTGTGGGATGCCAGCGGTGCCAGCCTGGCTGTGTGGGCAGCCCAGACACTCCTGCCCAGCAGGAACCGTGGCCATTTGCCCTCATATTTAGGTGGTGACTTGCCCAGGAGCTTCCTGTTGCTGAGCTGGCAGAGGCTCAGCAGGGCAGGGATGGCAAAACTCAGCCCAGGGATGGAGGTGCCCTCCCAAAACTCACCCAGGGATGGAGGTGCCCTCCCAAAACTCACCCAGGGATGGAGGTGCCCTCCCAAAACTCATCCCAGGGATGGATGTGGCCTCCCAAAACTCACCCAGGGATGGATGTGGCCTCCCAAAACTCACCCAGGGATGGATGTGGCCTCCCAAAACTCACCCAGGGATGGAGGTGCCCTCCTGAAACTCACCCAAGGATGGATGTGCCCTCCCAAAACTCAGCCCAGGGATAGATGTGCCCTCCCAAAACTCATCCCAGGCTCTGGGAAATGAATCTGTAGAACATTTTTAAAGTTTGACAGGAGGTTTATATGGTGTGTATCTGTATGTAAACTTTGAGATAAGAAATACTGACTTAGGAATGCCTCCCGGTTGCCCTATCTCTAGGTCAGAAAAGAGCATAATGTACATATTATTATATGTATGTATAAAACCAGGCTGGCTGCACACATGGGATGCTGCCTTGCCTGGGGGCTCTTGGGAAAGACTGCTTTTTATTTCTTATTTTATTTCTTATTTTATTTCTTATTTTATTTCTTATTTTATTTCTTATTTTATTTCTTATTTTATTTCTTATTTTATTTCTTATTTTATTTCTTATTTTTAATCTTGTTTTTAATCTTGTTTTTAATCTTGTTTTTTATTTTTATTTGTTTATTTGTTTTTATTTGGTTTTTAATTTGTTTCTTATTGATTTGGTTTTTAAATTTGTTTTTTATTTTTTAATTATTTTTATTTATATTTTTATTTAATTTATTGAATTTTAATTTTTTTTTAATTTTTAATTTTTTATTTTGTTTTTTATTCTTTATTTTGTTTTTTCAATATATATTTTTTATTTTGTGGGGGTTTTTATTTTGGGTTTTTTGTTTTTTTTATTTTGTGGTTTTTTTAATTTTGTTTATTTTGTTTTTTATTTTGTTTTTTCTTTTTCTTTTTTTATTTTTTAAATTTATATTTCTTTTTATTTTTTATTTATTTATTGTTTTGTTTTATTGTGCTGCCCTGCCTGAGGGCTCTTGGGAAAGATTTTATTTATTTATTTATTTATTTATTATGCTGCCCTGTC